CCGAGGGGAGCGCGGCGCTGAGGGAAGGGGGCAGCGCCTGGCAGGTGCCTGCGGGCTGGAGCCAGGCTCCAGTGAGCAGCGCTGCGGGCACCGGCGTGCGAAGGCCGCGCCCCAGCTCGTGCACCAGCCCCAGCCCCAGCCCCAGCCCCTGCAGCAGCCGAGCCTGGCGGGGTGCAAAGCGTGCCGGCGGCAAGCGGCCACAGCTCCGCGCTGTCTCAGCGGTGCCACCTCCGCTCCGCAGGCCTCGGCCCGCGGGTCGCACACGGTGCACGGGCCTCCGCACGCCGGCAGGCCGGGGCTGTGGGCCGTGCGGGGCAAGGGAGCTCTCCGCGCCGCACCCCGCGGGCGCTGGGTGTCACAGGCAAAGAGAGCAGGGCAGGTGTTTTCCCTTGGAGCCCTCGGCTCAGCTCTCGCCCTCCATCCTGGGGCTGGGATGAGGGGCTGAGAGGCCGTGTGGTCTGGCAGCAGGGGCCGCAGGGCATGGCCGAGGCTGGCGGGCGGCTTACTGGGCAGCTGCCTCTCCTCGCAGCCTCGACATGGAGTCGTACCTGATCCACGTGAACGGGCACGGGGACCGTCCCGCCGTCCTGGACGTCCACGTCAACATCGGCGGCGGTGGCCCAGCCCCGGGCAAGGGGAAGGGCCGGAAACCGCGGTGGGCAGTGAGGGCCTCTGAGATGTCCAAGAAGACCTTTAACCCCATCCGCGCCATCGTGGACAGCATGCGGGTGGAGCCCAACCCCCAGAAGCCCATGATCTCTCTGTCCATCGGTGAGGGGCTGTGGCAGGGCAGGGCTGGGCCACGTGTCAGGCTGGGCGGCTGCGGTCGCTCTTGGGTACAAGGCTGCTGCCATCTCCCCACAGGTGACCCCACAGTGTTCAGGAACCTGCCCACGGACGACGAGGTCACCCGGGCGGTAAAGGAGGCCCTGGACTCGGGGCGCTACAATGGCTATGCCCCCTCGGTCGGTACGTCACCATCCCCTCCCAAAGGGCAGGGGCCAGGGGAGCTGGCGGCCACCTCTCCGGGCAGACGCCGGCACCCTGGGCTGCACCGTCCGGGCCCCCCACCAGCCCTGCCCGCAGCAAGCGCTGCTCCCTGCTTGCCGTGTCTGCCTAGCAGAGGAGCTCGCCTGCCAGCTGCAGCTCCTGGGGCTGGAGCCTGGCGGTGGGGCCGGGGGCTCTGCCTCCCCCCTGCAGGCCTGACCCCAGCCCGTGGCACAGCTCCCTGCCGGACGGGGGGCAGCCCGGTGCCGCGTCCTCGTCCCACCCGTGTCCTGGCCGGGCTCGAGGGCAGGGGCTGGCACCAGGAGATCAGCAGGGTGCAGCCGACCGGCTCCGGCCCCCAGGCCCGTAGTGTGACCCTGGTGTTGCCCGAGACAGACTGCACCGTCCTGGCTCGGTGCTTGGGCTGCCAGCCCCTGGGCAGGGCTTGAGGTGGGATGTGTCGCCCAGCATGGGGTCAGTTCTTGGCCCTTCCCAGCTCCCAGCCTGGGGGACCGGTGACTCCCGCTGGGTCCCTGCAGCTCTCTTCTGCCACGTCCCCATTGCAACCCGGGCCCCAGCTGGGGTCTGAGCCATTCCCTCCACAGCTGTCCCTCTCTCCCCAGGGTACCTGTCCTGCCGGGAGGTCATTGCTGCCTCCTACAGCTGCCCAGAAGCACCTCTGAAAGCCCAGGTGAGGCAGCCGGCGGGTGGGGGCTCCTGCAGGGTGGGCTACAGGGAGCTGCAGCTGCAGCCGTGGTGGGTGGGGACAGGAAACCTGGACTCGATCGTTGCAAAGAGCCTGGGGGCCCCTCACCGCCCCCCCCACCCCAGCTGGCAGGGCTGGGCACCAGCCCCCAGCAGCCGGTCGTGGCACCCCTGCGGCTGTTCACGGGCCTTTCGTCCACGACAACGTATGGCCCTGGTTCTGCTGCGGGCACAGGGCTGGGACGGCTCGTAGCGGCACGTGGGGCTGCTCCGGCGCTCACAGCCGCCTGCCGTGCCGTACGCAGGACGTCATCCTGACCAGCGGCTGCAGCCAGGCCATCGAGCTCGCCTTGGCGGTGCTGGCCAACCCAGGCCAGAACATCCTGGTGCCCCGGCCCGGCTTCTCGCTCTACAAGACGCTGGCGCTGTCCCTGGGCATCGAGGTCAAGTTCTACAACCTCCTGGTGAGCGAGGGAGGGCAGGAGCGGAGCATGCAGCCCCAGGCCCCAGCTCGTGCTCCCATCAGGCACACGCATGTGCATGCTGATGGGTACGTGCATACGCACACATTCTCCAGGGGCCTCCTCCCAGGAGTTTCGTGTCCTTTTACAGACGGCCGGAGGGGCTGGTGCAGAGCCCCTCGGCCCAGCACGAGCTTGCCATGGCAGCAGAGTTCCCTGGGCTCTTGGCTTCGTCAGGCACAAAGCACAGAGATGCCCACACGGGCTCTGCCGGTGCCTGGCCCCCTGTCCCCACAGCCTGGGCCTAGCCCTCCACTAGGATCGGGCGCCATGCCCAGCCTGTGCCTAGCCCCCGTGCTGCACCCGAGCCTGGCACCCAGCCCTGGCTGTGTCCTCACTCCACTGCCTCAGCCTTGCCCCCTCTTGCTGCCAGCCTGAGAAGTCCTGGGAGATCGACCTGAAGCACTTGGAGTCGCTGGTGGACGAGAAGACGGCCTGCCTCATCGTGAACAACCCGTCCAACCCCTGCGGATCCGTCTTCAGCAAGAGCCACCTCCAGAAGATCCTGGCAGGTGAGCGCGAGGTAAAGCCGGCAGGCAGGCCTGGCCCCAGCCCTCCCCCTGGCTGAGCGAGGGAGGGCCGCCGTGCGCGACTGCCCGAGGCTGCACAGCCGCACCCAAGACGTGCCCCGGCCCGGCTGGACGCCAGGGCAGCTGGGTCTGGCTCTGTGGCTCTCGCGCGGGCTCCGGCATGCCAGGCCAGGAGCAGGAGACCCGCTGTGCCGCGCACGGCTGGGCCATGCCTGGCCCAGGGCAGCGAGGGTCCCTGGGCAGCTGCATAAACCTCTCTCCCTCCGCAGTGGCCTCAAGGCAGTGTGTCCCCATCCTGGCCGATGAGATCTACGGTGACATGGTGAGTGCCCGTGCTAGGGGCTGCGGTGGTGCCGGCTGGGAGCGGTGACCCCGGCAGAGCCAGGCCGTACTCGAGCCCCCTCCCTGGGGCAGCTGCCCTGTCCCATGGCTGGAGCGTCCGGGAACAACCCGTTGTGCCTCGCACCCGGCCCTGTACGCTGCGGTGCTGCGAGGCCTAGTGCCTAACAGTGTGGTTGTGAGAGGTCCTGAGCACGGGGCCTGGCCCTGCCCCTGCCCCGGGTCTGCCTCCTCCATGGCCTGCCCCTGACACATCCTCCTGCTCCAGGTGTTTGCGGACTGGAAGTACGAGCCCATCGCGGCACTCAGCACCAATGTGCCCATCCTGTCCTGTGGGGGCCTGGCCAAGCGCTGGCTGGTGCCTGGCTGGAGGATGGGCTGGATCCTTGTCCACGACCGGAGAGACATCTTTGGGAATGAGGTGAGGCTCCGGTGTGGTCCCCTGGCCTGCACGTCTCCCACCCCTTCCCCTGACCCTGTGCCTTTCCTCCCTGGTGTGCCCACCCGGCTCTCATGCACACGCCTGTACCCTGCCTCAC